TTCTCAGACACCCCCCTGTTCGCGCAAGCGCGGACATCGGCCGCTTAAGCGGACACAAAAGTGTCCCCCTTACTTTTCAGAATGAATCGACGCCCCTGACGGTAACAGTTAATGTTGAATTAGAACAGGGCACGTGTAGATCATATTTGATACATATTCCAGAATAATATTGCGATCATGGCAAACAAATATAGCTGCATGCAGCTATGTGAAGGTGCCCAATTTTATGACGTCATTGGTAACGCAGGTTACAAGATGCAGGTCCAGTAAAAGGTTATTAAACATTTCGCAAAATGAAACTTATTGTATATTAATAAAAGCATATAAAATTGTTTCCTGTTTATTAGAACACAAGTCCCTATCTTTAATAATGATCAACTCCATTTGTAATACTAACCTTATTTTTTTTTATTTAAGTGCGTAAAACACAACAGTAAAACGAAATCGAAGGCTGGTCTATATTCAACCATTGTATATATTGGAAAATATAACTAATATTGGATGCTGAACCCCAGATTGAAAAAAGCACACCCCATAATATAAAAAAGGATGAACTGTTTTAGTGTTGATTATACAATTTTGAGTAATACGAGCTCACGTCTCTTGCTCGTCAAAATGAAATACGCTATTAGTTTTGTAATGTCTATGCTATATGACCAAATGAATCGTGCGTCACAGTTTAGTTGTACATAAAAGTAGGTTGCAGATAAAACCCTTGCGATTTATTACAATATTGTTGTCCAATGATCATACAAAAATACATTTCACTTGATACAACATATTCAATTAATGTATATCAATGTTTATGCAAAATAAGACATAATTCAAAAATAAACCAACTACCGTATTTGCTCTATTAGAAATACAAGTGTTTATTGAATATGGTATGTTTACAAGGTTATCGTATTAACATTTTTTTTTATTTAGTAAGTTCACATTAGTTCACATTATTCCAAATATTGGTATAATATACGTAATAAAAATAGATTAAGTGAAAATACCAGAACTATAAAACACAAATCATAAAGATTATCATGTTTGTCCCCCACCTTATAGTAAAAATTAAATGTGTCAATGCGTTATCTAGACAAGAATGTACGTGCAAGTAAAGATCCCGTCCCGATACACATGTTGCCAATCATAACGCAAACCCATATTGTAATACAGTATACCAATATTATCAATTGATTGTTGGGGGTGGTGATGGGTTGGTTGATTATTTTTGTTGAATAGGCTAGATTAAGTCTGTCTGTTGTAATTGTAGTTTTGAGAATGTATTGGAGTTTCCTTGCTGCACGATAATCAAAATAAAAACTTTTTATAAACGACATCGACGATGTTTTGAACGGCCTTCGTGTCGTTTGTTCACTCATTTATAAAATATAAAATATAGAATATTGTTTATAGAAAATGTGCCTCAACAGTCTAAATTTAATTTACTGCTATACGATTGTATGTTAAGCAAATAACATAAAAGGTAAGCCAGGTGGAATTTGGGAAAATGCGTGCATTTTTAAAATAAAACTTTCAACTAGATATTATAAATTATACTTTAGACACGATTACTAGTAAATTATATTGTCGAAAAGTGTGAATTGGTTTAAATTCAAGTTGGTGGGTGTCGAAAATCATAACCCAAAATATAACACTTGAATTGAATTAATGTTAACTTTATCTGCATCTTTGGCACACAGTTTCAAATCCCACACATAAGTGCAGCAGTGAGCCAACAAGAATACATTAGCATGAAAGACTTGTCTATTGTATCTATTTAGTTGATTTGTTTATTCCAATATTTACTGAGCCACGCTATTTAAAAAATTACGTTATCGACGAAAGAATTCATTAAAGCGCACTTCCTGGGAACGCATGCTTACTCGCAGTAAGCGAAATCGCTAAAAAATGATATTTTTTCATTAGTCTGTTAGTCTATCCTCATCCTCAATTGACATATTAGAACATCATTTCATGACATTAAATCTTGGATGACTGAAAATAAATTAAAGATTAATGATGACAAATGATGTTGCTTAGAAGATCAAAATTCAGCCGTCTTCCAGGCCCAATAAACCACATCTCTGTTGGATCAAGTAAAATCCAATTAGCAGAGTCCGCACGCAACATTGGAGTCATCTTTGATCAACACACAGCAACACAACATCTTTTTTCACCTTCGTATAATATCTCAAAGTATGCATGAAGACGACGCAGCGGAGGTCGATGCGACCGTGTACTGTCTGAGGTATTCTCGTAATAACCTTATTATTATACATCTTTTCTTCCCAAGGATACATCATGGGTAGACCGAAATCCAAAAAGTTTTAGAACAGATTTAGCAAATTTCTTTGTGGGGGGGGGGGTCTGGTCAAACTTCGCGTGAACTTTAGATTTAGAACACGCACACGCGTCACGCTCACTCACTCACTGTCTTTACACTATGCTTTGACTCAGTGATTTTCTTGAACATTCATCGTTTTATTTATTCAACAACAATTTAACAAAAACTCTTAATCCAAGACGTAACTATTTAACTGCACAGAAATTCATTGGCTGTCGTCGTCATACAACACGAATGGTCGTCGTCGTTTTGGTGGTGGAGATGCATTGGCGGTCGTCGACTTAGCGGAGGCCATCTGAACATTTACGTTAATGTTGAAAGTGAATTCTGTTCCTGCCACTTGTACAGTGCCACCAGGTAGAACCATTTGGTTGTCGGCATTAGAGGTATTTGTATTTTCTTGCACGAATTTGGTAGATACTGGCCTGGATGTTAGAATGTCGGACATGTGTTCCCGCTGGCTCTCGCTTGCTACGGCATAGTGGTTGATACTGTTTACATTCTTGTACGCGGTCAGTTGGGCGATTTGGTTGGGTGAAACACCCGTGGAAACCAAATTCTGTATGGCCGTTTTCCTCCCTGAATGATTCGTTTTTTTCCCTGGAATACCAGCCGTTTCGGTCATTTTCTTCATGATTGTGCCGAGGGTATTCATGCCTACTTTAGATAGTAAGATGAAATGGCGCTGAAGACTGTGTCATTTCTACCGGGCGATGTGACAAAAACAATTTGTATACATTGACTGGACATCTTTCTGGGTTTTCTGGTGTGGCAAAAGAAACAGGCTTGAATGGCCGTTCACTGTTTACTTGCCCCGATCGTGTTTTAGTGTCTCTCTCGGAATATTCCAGATACTCTCTCCCTTCGGAATTCCGTTTTAATACCACATCTCCCCATGTCATTTTATGGTGCTCATCACGACCCCTCAGACCGAAGCATTTTGTGTTGTTGAGCCAGACGGTGTTTAGCAAGGATTTTGCATTATCTAGACCAAGCTGGCCACATTTCCACAGCGCGGACTCATCGCAGGCAGTGAGAGGTTCTGCTCTGTTCGGCCTATTCCCCTTGCCTTATTTTCTCAAACTCTTTCGTTTCGCCGACAGAACTTCCCGCGATTTGGTAAACTCAATGTCTCGCATTATAGACCAACGATAGTTGTTTTCCCTTAGGTACC